GCCGAGAGACGGAAGGCCTCGAGATGCGCACCGAACGCGAGAAACACGCTAAATGTACAAAGCGATGAGAAATAATCCCCGCAGAGAGAGAGAGAGAGAGAGAGAGAGAGAGAGAGAGAGAGAATCTCGGGGGAGAGAATTCATCGATCCCCTCGCCGGAGAGTCTCCTCCTGATGCCGCGTCTGGTTCAACAATAAGTGCATCCCCTTTTATATATTCTTCTTTCTTTCCGTGAGTCACACATATACGCAGGATAAAACGAGAAAAAGAGAAAATAAGAAAAGAAAACGAATAAAAGTAGACCGGACGAAGGAGACTTCGGTAGGATGGAAGGAAGCAAGTCGGAGTCGGAAAGTGGAGACGAACTCGGATGAAATCGCGAGAAAAAGCGCGAAACGCGAAACGCAACGCACGCGATATCGATGCGTCCGCGGAGACTGACAAGAACGCGAGCGAGAACGGACGCGGGCGCGCTTCGCGGACGAGCGGCGTATCCACCCACGGCGTGGCGTACTGTAACGAGGCTACAGTCCATTAAGTGCGTGCGGCTATTATGGCTAATGCATTACGAAGCGATAAAAAACGGGAACTATAGCAGTGCTCTCCGCTCGCGTCCGCGCCCGCGCCCGCGCTCGCGCTCGCGCTCGCGCTCGCGCTCTCGGGAACCGGACCACATTCCATGTCGGACGAGTACCAACGCGTTGCTGGATGCATTGCCCGCGGTGTAACGCTCGTAGATACGCCGACGACACACGCTCTCGCGCACGGCAAAACGCGCACGTCCAGATCTCCGCCGCTGTATCCGCAGCGTTTAGCCGCGCCGATTCTCCCGCCGCGATATATTTTCGCGTCGTCCGACGACTCTCCGACGATTTTCATTCGGCCGCGCGGCAGAGTCAATCGCGCCGCGGCAAAGCGGGTTATTACCTCGTCGCGATATGCTCTCTGGGATTTGGACTTTGATTCTCGCCTCTCTCTCTCTCTCTCTCTCTCTCTCTCTCTCTCTTTTTCTCGCTCGCTCGCTCGCTCGCTCGCTCTTTCTTCCCTCTACCGCGTCTGCGCGAGCAAGATTGTCAGCTCCGCCTTCAGATTCATAATTATCTCGGATGGTTTTTTTCTCGCTCGATGCGAGGAACAGATGACGGAAGACGAAGCGCCGAGAGACAGATTTGTCAAGATGACATCTGGTTTATCCGGGAATCCTGTAAATACGAAGGAGGCGGGCGAAAGGGGAAACGTGGCGGGCAGGATTTAGACGCGGAAACGATAGGGTAGGCGCGCACGGTAAAAAAGAGAGAGAAACGGTAACCCTTTCCTCTTTCCTGTATGGCCGCGTTCAACCACGGAAACTACCTTGGAAATTCGACTCTAAAAATATTCGTCTTATGGAGTTTCTCCGGTTTTTTAGACCGCGTTCCCTACTCCCCTCGGTTCTCTCTCTCTCTCTCTCTCTCTCTCTCTCTCTCTGTCTTTTTTGTCTTCCTACCCTCGGGAGACGCGCATCAGCCATATGGCTCGCGAGGGAGAGATAAAAAATTCATATTTTCACTGGAAGGGCTAAGACCGTGCGATATTTTTAAACTTTGGGAATGCTCCGCGAGAGAGAGAGAGAGAGAGAGAGAGAGAGAGAGAGAGAGAGAGAGTACGTTCAACTTTCACTTGTCCGCGGGACATTTTTTCACGTTTCCGTAAATCCATTCCTCAAGGAGTGTCGATCTTGTCGACAAGGGAAAATTATCCCGCTGATAAAATTATCAAATCATCTTGAGTTGTACGCATACCATAATTTATAAAAATAAAAATATAAATTGGTTGTCACGAATAAAATTCAATCCGGTTTTCTCTATGCATGCTCGTCTCTCTCTCTCTTTCTCTCTGTAAATATTTTATTTATACAACTTGCCCGCGTATGTGTTTTTAATCACCGAAGCGGAATAATATAGAGTCGTCACAGGAGTCTCTATATACCTGAAAAATCGGGAGCGACCTTTTCCATTCACCCCTGAACGGCCTTCCGTTATTTGAGGGTTTCTTGAAGCTAATGGTTTTCTCACACGATCCCCGAAACGGTAAAACCCTTTTCACGGAAATCGAAACCCCTTCGGAAGCCGTACGAAGGATCCGCGCGTTAAATCATTGGCACATTACGCAAAATCATGCGGTCCCGTAGTATTTCCGATACCTGGATACACGATACCTTATTGGATGGTGGATTAAGCGGCCCTTTAAGAAAACGCCGAGGGAGGAAGGGAGACGGCGCGAGGACGCACGAGGGCGTCCTGACCCATTTTCGAGGGGTTCCGCTTCAACCCTTTCGGGACCTAACGGGACTCCGCGACATTTTCCCACATTCTACTTTACCGAAAATCGACTACCTGATCGTCGACCGCGCGCGCGCGCGCGCGCGTAATATCGAAGAAAAGCCCGGAGTTCAACGCCCTCCCTATTTATCTAAACAGGGACTAAAAAGTATAAAACAATATTCATAATAAGTATGTCGTGAAATTTGTTCAATAATTCTCCCGCAGTTTGTTGACTGATTTGAGCCGCGCGTTACTCAATTAATCCTCGCGGTATTCGGCCAGTAATAGCTCGGATGATGAGTACATGAAAGAAATTATGGATTAAGATAATTACTCGGTTAACAAGCAAGTAACGTAACGTATATTTCTTCGCGATATATACGGAGAGAGGATAATCCGCGGGATTCCGATAAATAGACGAGAGACGCGTAACACCGGTAACATGTAGCACCGGCGCGAGAAATATATAAGAGATATAGGAATATAAATACGAACGGGACGATAATTGTGATAAATGAGCGCGTTAAGAAATCAAAAGGCAGGAGGAGGAACGTTCACACGGCGGACTGGTATAATCACGTGAATCAGGCCCATTTTCGTTTATGACTCTTTTCAGCTTTAATCATCCTTAATCCCCGTTACAAGCTACCCGCACGATGTAAATAGCTCGGAAACGTCAATCTAAAAGTTGGAAGGGATATTAATGTCGCGATGTATCAGAAACGTAACGGGAATAACAAGTACGTGGAAGAGGAAAGAAAAAGGAAAGAAAATTAGACCAATGCGCATCTCGATCGATTTTTTTTTCTCGTTGCTTCTTACTGGAAGAAGAAATCTCTTATTACAATCTCATTTACTTAATGAAATTGTCAACGAGCGTGTCGGACGTTTCTACCTCTGGTTCTTCTTCGATAATTCCCCATCGCGAATATAGAACCCCTTCTCCTATTTGTCTTTTTTCCTTTTTTTCTTTCATTCTGGCTTCAGTTTTCTATTTTCTTCCGAAAATCCGCCGGTCGCGTCCCACTTTCCGCGACAGAATATTGTCCCTCATTTTCTCTCAATTAGCGACATCCAGAGGAACCCCGAATAATTGCCAGCCCCTGCGTAACGCGCCAGCGATGAGCATCTCGCACAAGTACAGTATCGACAAAGACCTTCGAGGGGGGTAAAAAGTAGGAGTGTCCTTCGAGGGCACTCGAGTGACGTCATTGGTCGGCGGAACCGTCCTGTGTAGGATAAAGTGGCGATTCTGCGCAGGGGTGGAAAATTAATGCACTTCGAAATCCCGCTCGACTCTCCCTACTCGTGAAACATAATGGCGTGGTTGAACCGGCAACCGGTTTTGTCTCTATGCGTCATGTATTTCGCCACCTGACAAAATTACAATATGCTAGCCAAAAATTGTCTAATGAAAGGTACAAACAAAATACGAACGAACACGGTGATAATTAATCAAAATTGCTTGAACGGCGCGCGTGTGTGTGTGTGTGTGTGTGTGTGTGTGTGACGAAAGTGTTGCCCGCGACCGCACGCGCAAACGCGTCGTCGTGAAAAGAGAGCTTGGGATGACTCCTCGTCATCATCTCAGCGAACTAATGATCTCGGAAATAAAATTCACAGTACCTCCTTTGAAAAAAAAATACCATCGTCGCTTTACGTATACGCGTTACGCGCTCACGGCGACAAGAGCATCCACTCGTACGCCGAAAGTACGGTCAAAAAGTCACCCTCGAGTAACTCCATTACCCTCCTCGATCGTGTAAAGGGGTTAATGTTCTCGGCGTAGCCACCCCCGCGATCCTACAGCCACCTATCCGCGTGCGCGCAGCGGGGGCTGCTGGTCGCGGGCGACGCGCGAGGAGCGCGCGCGCGGTACGCGCGGCTCGCCAGCCGGTGAACGAATGCGTGCGACAGCGATCGCGGAGCGGAAGAAGAGGAAGGAGTCGCGTGGCGGTGGCAGAACTCCGTCTCTTTGCCCCCGTCGTCGTCGTCGTCGTCGTCGTCGTCGTCGTCGTCATCGTCGTTCGTCGCAGCCGTGCGGCGGCGAGTATCGCGACGACGCCGGCGGCCAGCTGGGAAGGGGCAACGACGCTCTTTGTCGGGGGTGGGAGGCGGTGGTACGACAGGCGAAGGCGGGGAGAATGCGACGCGTCACTGCTCTCGACGGGGTGGGGCATTCTCCAACAAGCGCTTGGTGGGGACCCTTGAAACCCGCGGTCTTTCTCTGTCGGTGAAAGAGGGGCCAGGGGGAGTTTGGCGTGTTTCTCTCCCCGCTCTCCCACCCCTGCTCCCCCTCTCCGCCGTCTCTGTCTCTCACCCTTCGGAGGGGTTCAGTCATCTCGCGCCAGCCGAGCCACGCGCACTCTCCTCTCTGACATTCCGGGCTCGGTGGAGAACCCGGAGAACCGGATAAACCATCCGATATTCCTTCGTGGCGGCAAAAGCTTCATTATCGGCGGCGGGGTGGCCGTCGTCGTCGTCGTCGTCGTCGTCGTCGCCGTCGTCGTCGTCGTCGTCGTCGTCGTCGTCGTCGTCGTCGTCGTCGTCGTCGTCGTCGTCGTCATCGTCGTCGTCGTCGTCGTCGTCGTCGTCGTCGTCGCCGTCGTCGTCGTCGTCGTCGTCGTCGTCGTCGTCGTCGTTGTCATTGTCGTCATCGTCGTCACCGTCGCGTCAGTCGTCGTCGTCGTCGTGGGTCGGGGGTGGCGGTGGAAACGCGCGCGCGGCGAGCAAATTTGCGCGAGTCTGAGGAAGACGCGAAGCGAACCGCCCTCTTCGGACGCGGGCTCCGGAAGACCACCCCCACTTCTTCCCCCTCTCGATCGGACGCGAGCGCGCGAGCGCGCACCTCCCTCTTCATCGCGGGTGCTTAGACAGCCTCGGGAATCGAAGAGACACACGGCTCGACACCGAGTTCCACGGGTGGAGAACCCGCGCGCGGCTCCTACGCGCTATCACCCTTCCGAGCAGCGAGGATTCGTCGAAGCGACAGTTGCCGAGTGTCGCGACAACTCCCGGAAATGACCCGCTTCTCACGATTGCGTTTTGGTGCTGCATACTCGGTCGGGAACGTTCATTAGCCGCGACTCGCGGCCACCGGTGTGCCATTACTACCGAAACTGTCACTCTCTCACCTCTTTGACCCTCCAGAGGTCAGACGGTCTGTCTCTCCCATGCCGCGATAAAATTGGAAATTCCAGTCTCCAGTGGAGAGAGAGAGAGAGAGAGAGAGAGAGAGAGAGAGAGAGAGTCCTTTGGGCGTCACAAATTGGGCCGCAAATTCGGTTCGACACGGTGCGTCATGAGACTTCTTAATCAGCAGAACAGGAAAAATCAGTGGTGATCGATTGGGAGGACCACTGATCCCTCGAACCGAGAGAGAACCCAGGCCTTGACCGAGGATGTCGAATGATCATTTGGACGTTTCCCGGAGCCCGAGGAGTGACAGTGTTCAGGGTGGCACGGAGAGTGTTCGCGTTTCGATGGCCGGTCGGCCAAGTCGGTGAGGGTGGAAAGTGGTCTCGGTGTTGGTTTTGAAGGTGGACGATCTGTAAGAGAGCCGATGCCTGTCCCATGTTCCTCGCGAAATAAGACTCCTGCAAGAAGCCTCAGAGAGAGAGAGAGAGAGAGAGAGAGAGTTCCGTCACGAAGCTCGATCGCTCGATTGGATCGGTTGGTTGGTGGGTGCGATCAGCGACGAATCCAAAGACTCTCCTGTCTGTTCGGTGTGAGTGATCTTGGTCGCAGGGCCTCTCTGCGAGTTTAGTGCGCGAGCCATATTGAATTGTCACGTATTGGAGTGAACAGAACCGGGGTTGAATAGAATCGGGGGTGATCAGTGTGGATAATCGGTAACTGCTTCGTTGAGCTCGTCGAGCCGAAACGCGTGGTCAGAACTATGGTAATATCGATGGGAGTGCCTCGTGGAAGGAACGGTGATACCAACTAGAGAGGAAGAGGTAAAGTCTATTTTTTCGCCTCCCGTACGGGAATTCGATCGATGTCTCTCATTGACTTGACGCGAGAGGTAAACCTCTGGCTAATTGGAACGTCCAATACCAAGACTCTGGAATTGGTATTGGATTGAATCGCGTTGGTATTTGGTGGACCGTTTGGTGGAGAGTAACACCGACGGCTAGTGGTCAACAACAGCACTTGCCATGCCAAGAAATCTGTTGTTGGGTCACAATTTTGTCATTTCTCGTTCTGAAAATATCATTGAAAATATCCGGCATCCACCCGACTTTTTTTCATCGGTAATGCTCTGTCGCTACATGTGTCGTGCCGAAAGAGGAATCGTCTACCATGGAGTGTATCGAGTTTCGAGTTGTACAAAATGATTGTAAATCGTGCAAATCAGCAGTTTGTCTCTCGTGATGTACGACACGCGTGCGATAATAGCGTGTCGATAGGTTCCTTCATCATTCTTACAGCGCGTTGAAACGGAGGAGAGCGGCAAAGTCCTCGTTGTCACAAAAATTCATAGACAGTGCTTCCCCCTTCCCCCCCCCCCCCCCCCGCTAGTGCTCTTCGCATTCCTACGTTTATTTCCATGGTTCGCGGCCGATAGGCGCGGCTCGTAAAATTTCCTCAGCCCGAACAATGTTAGCGATAATGTGCTCAAGTTATGTCACAGCGTTGAGCGGGCCACCGCTCGAGAAGCAGTAAAGAAGTTGGCAGCTTTCGTGTCCCAAACTTTCCGCGTCGATCTGAGACGCGTCTCGGGGAACGAAATTAGCAACCGTGCGAACGTTTCTGACGGTTTCGCGGAGTTCGCCGCGATAAAAATCCGCTCGCCGGAAATCTCGCGCCGTGAACGCGCCAACGACTATTCCGTCGGCTTTTACATTCGAGCGCGGATCGATTTGGCAGAATATAACCCGCGCGGCGCGGCGCAGCGCGCCGTCCGAACGCTGCGCCGCGGCCGTTGCGTTCGGATTTCACTTCGTGCCCTCGTAGCCTAGAGAGCTTCGTTTCTTTTTCGTCTCGAGCGAGAGGGAGGGCCTTCCCTCGCGATCATCCCGCACGCAATAATAATAATAATAATAATATCGTACGCCTGATAACGTAGTTTAGCCCGACCCGTCGACGTTAAATCGCCCGTGGCCGGAAAACCGGACGAGCCGAAAATTATCCGTCCCGTCCGCAAACGGCGACCTTCCTGCCGGAATTCGACCTCGATCTCCCGACACAGGAAGGTTTCCTAGTGATTATGTCACTTCCTTTCCTCGCGTTTTCGTTTTTTTTTCACACGGAAGTCGCCGCCGGTTCTCTCTCTCTCTCTCTCTCTCTCTTCCCCTTTCTCTCTTCCTCTCTACGCCCACTCTATGTCCAGCATCTCGTTCTCATTGCGGCGTTCCGCTCGCCGATAAAAGCGTCGCACGAATTGCTGTCTCGATTTTGCTGTCGCACTGAGAATCCGACGTGTTTATTTGGTTCGCAAACACGTAACGGCTTGTATGCCGATGTTTACGGCGTACAATTTATCAGGATTATTATCTTTTTCTTGGCTCGGCGGCGCGCGAATGCTAATCAAAAGCGCGCGACACTCCGTTAGTACTTTTTGATAATTGTATTACCGCGGCAAAATTCTGCTCTGCGCAAAAGGAGCTTTTGCACGAATTATTTCGCGCCATTTCACCCGACGCGAAGAAATGATGCGAAGAAAAGTACGAAGAAAAAGACACCTTGGATGCATACAAACAGGTTTAGTGACCAGTTTATCTCGTGTTTATACTTTCTAATTTGTTACCGGTATGACAAAGTGCCCCGGAATAAATTCAATTGATGAAACAAAAAGAAGCTAAAACTTTTGCAAAAACAATCAACGGTAAAGCGAGAGGGGTTAAAGTGCGAGAGGAAACGATCAGTGGTAACCGCCGCGGCAGGGCATCGCGCGGATATCGATCGACTGTGGGTATAATCGTGGAGACGCGCAAAAACGACACAAAGAAACAATCGCGAGAAAGTGGCGGACGTAACGAAGGGAAGACACGGGGAAGAAATGAAGAAATCAAGAAAGGCAGAATAGGAATCGGAAGGCAGAGAGAGAGAGAGAGACAGAGAGAAGGCGAACGAGAATGTAGCGGAGAAGGAGGAAGAGGAGGTGGAGGAGGAAGAGAGGGTGGTGAAGGAGGAAGAAGAGAGGACGGAGGACAGAGTCGGGGCGTCGTGTACGTTGATATACGTCGCGGCGTATATCGGCAAAAGGAGGAAAGGACGAGTGTGTGGACGAAGGACAGAGAGGAAGGGAAGAAAAGGGTCGAGCCGAATGGAGAGAAACGCGAACTCCTCTCCGTTCGGGAGAGGGAAGAAAACCGCGAAACAATTGGAGGAGCGGAGGCGGCCGCATTTCATGTTGCCTGGCATCGGCTCCCTTTAAAGAGTCTCTTGCTTTTTGTTAGCTCTTCGAAAATTATGATTGTTTGTCCGCGAGATTTACTGCTCGGAGGCTCCCTCGACGCGCCGTGTACACGTGTATATGTGTGTACGTCTCTATGTACGGATACGTGTGTGTGTGTGTGTGTGTGTGTGCAAGGCGCAAGGCGCCCTCGAGGAGCACCGCGATCTCTCGCTAGACCGCGAAGGGGTCTTGGGGGTAAGGAGATGCTAGGGGGGGACGGAGGAGAAGGGGACGATGAAGGTTTGCCGAGATTAAAGAATTGAGAATTTACAGCGTTCGCTACCAAACTGCAGCTCCGTTGCTGCTCGCCTTCCTCCCTCCCTCCCTCTCTCTCTCTCTCTCTCTCTCTCTCTCTCTCTCTCTCGCTCTCTCTCTCTCTCTCTCTCTCTCTCTCTCTCTCTCTTTCTCTCGCTCGTCCGCTCGTTTCGCTTTTCCTACCTCTATCTCGCTCTTATCGCGCTATCTCGTCGGATTCGCTAAATTAGCCGCTGTTTGGATTAAGAGATTTCGCTTGGCGCTGAGAGAAAAAAGAAGCAACCGTCACCGCGGCCGCTTTGCGAGAGTAACGCGCGACGAGTTGCTCCCGCTTGCGCAAGAGAACGGCTCGAGAGTTCGCATCTGTCGCGAGCCTGGATAAACGAGGAGCGTTGTTGCGTCGCAACGGGGAATCGCGAAGGGAGCGCTTTAATTTCTTTTCGATTGCAGAAAATTGCGCGACGTACGCGAGGCACGATCGAACCGGCATCATCACCGGCTTATAGTCATCCAGCCTTCGGTCAAAAACGCGCAATAGTAGTCACCTGTGAACTGCGCTCCAGGCGTTGTAATCGTCAGCGCGACGCTTAGAAAGATTCCACAAAATCTAACGAGCACCTAACCGATAACCGATAAACTTAACGCAACTTAATGTCCGCGTTATTTGATCGGAGGGGAAGAAACGTCACCGAGACCGAGACCGAGAAGATTCCCGTTTATTTTCTCATCGAGCGCTTTTCCCGGCCACTTCTCTCGCGAGTGACTGCGCCTTGGACCGCAACGCATACTCCAGAGCGGACACCTGTTGCCGTGTTCGAACTTTGTCGAGTTCGCGTACTTTTGTCTCCCCCGCCGTGCCGCGGAATCGTAAGAGGCTTCTCTGCGACGCGGCGAATTTTTGTCCGTTAAGCTACCGAGTGCTCGGACTCGGATGGCGGACATTCGGCTGATTTATTCCGGATCTTATTGTGGCTCGGTGGCCGAGAACGGGCCAACGAGGCCGGGCCGAACGGCTCGACTCCAAAAAGCGAGACTCCTC